CATGTTGAAGTTTATCCTGTTAAAATTTCAAAGAAAAATATTCATATTTGGCTGAAATATGGCGAGTTGAACACAAAAACCTATTGAAATTTTTTCATTAAAAAAATTATTATTTTGTTTATAACTTGAAAACAAAAAATCTTCCAAATTTGGTTTAAAGACAAAAAAGATGCGCTATGAAATTCTCTAAGAATCAGTCGTCAAAATTGAAATTAGAGCGATGTCCAAAATTAGCCCTTGCGGACAATATTTATCCTGCGAAATCCACGCATATCCCCTTATAGTATCCAGCCCCTCAATTTTATTTCTTCCAACCAGTTTTGTTAATTTATTTAAAATTAATGATAAGTTCTACATTGTTCATATTTGTTTCTATATCTTGCCAAATATTTTTAATTTGGCTTTTTTTGTTTCAGACTATAAAGCTGTAATCTTGTTTAGAATTTTAGATGTTTCATCATACTTCTGATGTCTTTTTGATGTTCAGTTAGATTACCTATAAATAATATTGAAATTTAATAACTGAAATTTAAAAGTATAAATATTTTTGAAAAAAGTATTTGCAATAGGATATTCACATACCTAAAAATGTTATAATTCTTGAATGCTTTTGGAGACTTTGTTTCAGCTCGCGATTGTGTCTCTCTGACGCGTTATTTGTTCTGTCCATTTCTTTGAACACAGAAAATAAATCGGATTTAAAGCCATTTATCCAAGTCTATAATAATTAAAAAATAACTGTAAAGTACTCGGAAAATGATATTAACGATAATTTCAAAACCTTCTTGTATCATTTGTTCTGATAGAAAAGCCAATGCAATTAATAGTTTTGTTGCACCCCAACCTAATTTTTTTACTTTCCCTTTTAAAATGCCATGTTTATCAGCATTATCTTGTAAAAAGAAACCAACACGAGGAAGGTTTACGCGCATTATATGTTTATTATGTGTATTGCTCTTCATTACCTGGTTGTAAGAAAGAAGTAGCCAATAGTTTTTGCTTAGGGGAAAACTGTTTTGATTGCTTTCAATTCTGCTTTTTCAAAATCTGTTATTACAACATCAGGTGTTATTTTTATGGTGTTTATCACTTTTTTCAATACATCAACATAATCTTCTGCGTAACGTTCCTTCTCCTTCCATGATAGTACACAATTGGAAATGTCTGAAATTTAAAAGCAATTAAACTTACCCATATAATTACACAGACAATAGAGTACATTTTGCAATTAAATAAAGTATAATAATTAATTAATGATTTAACTAATGAATTGATTGTTTTTCTTACTCTATTATTATGTCTAATAAGAATTGTCCATAATTGACAATTCGTATTTGTTAGTTGAAGTAGTGTTGCAAATATACCATCCATAAAAATGGTTAATTTGTTATGCGTTGCATTTATAATTGACTCTGCTAAAATTTTATCGATAAAAATAATTGCCTCGTTATGTTTTTGTCTCGTTATTTTTGATAATATAGTCAATAATAAAAGAATTTGTTGAATCTGCTGAAGAATCTATTGTAAATAATTTTTTCCAACCCTCTCTTTTCAAACAATCTTTTAATTCTTTTAAATTTGTTTCTCCAAGATTAAGTTTCTTATGACGCTCGATACATTTTTCAACGTTTATCACGTCCAATAAATGATCGCATCTATATATATGTCAATGTACAAATTATGGATTGTAAATAGTAATTAATTGTATTTTCTAGTGAAAATTTTTCTCAAAATTTTTTTTGTATCTTCATTGGTTCATACTTACTTATTCTCTTTTTTATCATTCTGGTACTTTCAAATATTTCTGATGTTTTGATTTCTTTTTTAATTTCACCGAGATGTAATATGAGTTTGTCATGATTATGTGTTCCATTAACAATGTATATATTATTTTTAATTGTCAATCGCACTCTACATTCAATATTTTTATTTTTTCGGTAACCACATTCGTAATATCTGTAAGAAAAAATTGTTCACAATTAAATGTACTAAAATATAATGTACAGTGTGCTCTTACGCTAGTTATGTAAATTAATGCAATAATATTTTCTTTCAAGCCATTTCTTCTCACTGTATTTTTTTCATTTTCATCGTATCTTCATACGAACTATTATGGTGAAAAACATATCCCTTGTATTCTACTTTTGGCTGATGAATTAAAATCGGACTTTTAATCTCGGAAAATCTTACATTTTTTGTACGACTAATTATTTCGACGATATAATAATTTGAATGTTCCATGAGCGACGTTTTTTATAAATTTACGCAACTTACAAGCGTCAATAACTTTAGAAAAAAATCTCACATTTTTCTCACGAAACACGTGTCTTATTATTATCTGTAGAATACGTTATGTGTAGAATATGTTAGCAAATTAAAAAAAAATAAAATGATGTTTCAAAGGTGCACGATTTGACGTAGAATAGATTGTAAGGATATATTAATAAAGTCATTTTAAGGAGAAAACATGTAAAATATTAACTTACTTTTAATAGTACAAATTAGTACAAATTCAGTTCTGTTAATTTTTTCCCTCATTTTGTTTTTTTTTTATGGTCCTACCAGCTTAAATATTATCAACGTCATTGTTTTCTTGAAAATGACGTAATATAGAATTGTTTTTGGCAGTACAAAATAGTACAAATTCAATCGTATTGATTTCTGATATTATTTTTCTTTATATCTTTTATTTTGAATTGGTCCTGCTAGCTTAATATTAAGCCAGCAGCGCCACGATTTTTTTCGAAATAGCACGCGGTATAAAATTATTATTAATGTACAATTTAGTACAAAATGAGTACTAAAAATTTCGATAGGTCCGATGTGATTCTGCTGATTTGGTCCTGCTAGCTTTATAGAGCTCTTATAATCGCATGTGAGAAGAATAACCCCGCAAACACAATAGAGTAGTAACCCAGCATTAAGAAATTGATCAATCACAGTCGAACGTGAGAAAAATAATCGACTATAATTGGTCAATTCCTTAAGGCTTAAGACTTACTACTCTGTTGTGTTTGCGGGGTTACTTAGTTAATTGACTATGATTCGTCCATTTCTTATGGTTTAACCCTTACGAAAAAAAACCTTTAACTGTGGATGTTAATACTCAAATTTAAGTATTTACCATCAAAGTTTAGTTGACAGTGTTGATCAATATTGGATGTATATTGAGGTTTGATGTGTATTACAAACTATGCATCGAATTTGATGGTCACACCCAATCGCGGTTTACTTATCAACACTTGTATATGACACTCAATTAGACGAGTGTAAATCCTTGGACTTAAACTTTGTGTCATTTTCAAAATTGAATGTAAGAGTCACTTGAATGTTAATCTTTATGATTGAGAATTAACGCTGAAATGTTGAATATGGATGCCGCAGATTCATTTATGAAAAAAATATTTTTTAATTATACATAAAACACATCTTTTTGACAAGCTTATCTATTGAGATATGTGACAGTTATATATCCACTAAAATTTAGTGTTCTTGGATCATCGAAGTAACAATTCCCATACGATTGCAGAAGTTCAGCACCATTGGATGGGATACAAGATTGGATGGTGACCGCTTAGAAAAATAAGAAAATTAATTCTCAAATGAGAGTGTTTTTTTTTTCAATTACTTTGTCGTGTCTATTCTGGAATATGATACAGATCAATAATATTATTTTAGCAATAAAACAGAGTTAATTAATTTTGTAAAATAAAGTTATTTATTTTGATAGTTTTCTTTGGGCGTTAACCTTCAATCGGGTGTAATCTTCAGTTGATGGTCCGAAATCACATCCTTTGAGCGTTTTTTTAAAGTGTTTAACATCAAAATTTGAGCATTCTTTTTAAGTGTTTAACGCTCAAAATTGAAAATTTTTTTCGTGATGAAAAGCTTAAAAACCTATTGTAGATTCAGACTAAAAAGCAGCAATGTAATATTCATTCCATACGCCCATTAGAATTGTGTTTTTTATCTATAGTCTGTTTACAACCGCACGCATGCGATCCGTTCCATTTCTCTATACGCATGGAAAAAAGGATGGACAAAAGCTAATGCGGGTATGGGCTGCATGTTTATGCGGTCTAAAGACCCTCTAATGAGAGTCGACACGAGAAACTGAGACTCTCTTCACGATCTTTTTCTCTTAAGGGTCTCTAGTTTCAGCAAAATCACATGAAAGAGAGAGGAATACGTTGTGTCTCTTTTTAACCTTTATCAATTCTCGTAAGTCGTGATATGTCTTTTTAATCTTGAGGATTATTACGATTTATTAGAAGATTATTAAAAATAATTGCAAAATGGTTTATGCAGCCCCCTTTTGCACAAATTCTGCAACTAAAGGTTACATAATGAAAATATTTCTACGTGATACTAAACGTCGTGCATTATGGGCAACAAATGTTGAAAAAAAATTAGACATCAATGAAAAATGCATATCTCTGCATCTGTCTGGTAATAACTTTAAAATATTTAATCTGGTTTTGTTTGATTTTAATAATAATATGAGTATATATAGTTTGAATGGTCGATATCCGTATCGGAACACTAAAAATCGATTATATCGATTCAAAGTAGACCTTGTTAAAAAAAAAGCGATTCTTTTTAAAGATATCGATTGAAAATGGCCCCATTTTGATTGGAAAAATTGATTTTTCGCAAAATAGATTAGTTTGTGCAAATGATTTTTAGCGTATCGATACGTGCATCGCCCATTCGTATAATATAGACTTTCGAATATAGGCCTAGGAATTGTTGAAAAAAGGCGGACCAATCAAAATTGGCTGTTCAAAAATGGCGCGACTCTCATTAGGTCTCTAATGCGGTCCATGCATAAAACGCACCCTTAGTTATAAGTAACTATAGTTACTTCCTAATTAACCCTACTAAATTTTTATATTAGGATTCAAGTCTAATTCTAAGAATTTAATATTGTTTGTTCATGTAATCCCTAGTCCACAATTCAAAACTATTTTATACGTACAAAGTACGAAACTTGCAATGGCATATCCAGGGAGGGTTGGGGGGTTCAAATCCCCACCCCGAAATTTTTTATTAATTATTTAATTCTAAGAAGATCTCGTTAGCGCATATCCTGATAACACACATCCACTCACATCGATCGGTGCTTAATAATTTTTTACTGCTTTACTAATGAGAATATTTTATTTTGAATTGACCAATTAGGCGATGTACTTTATCGAAATTTCTCTTTCATTTTTAATTGTAAAAAACATACAACTTTACTTTTGACTTTGTGTGAATTTTTTGCTGTGACATAAAATAGTGTTTTCTTTTCGTAAGACTAAAAGTTACTTTGAATACTTCTGTTAGTTCAAGCATACAAGAACAATATTAAAGAATTAAACATTTTGCTTGTAATAGCTATACTGTCTTCCCAAGCAGCACATCGGTATAACTATCTGACTAACGACCAATATTACACCAAATTCATCTAGAATTTATCTACAGATTGATACATTTATAGCTACGATTAAAGTTTTGGTCATATTTAGTAGTATATTGGTTGATTTAAAGTAACGTCGTTGTAAATAACGTCGCGCCGTCGTCGGCTTTGTCGACGTCGTTATACCTATCCAAATCCGACGTCGGCAACGTCGGCAAAGCTGACGTTAGTTTTTTAAACTAAATCTGACCTGATGTCGACGTCGGTTTTAGTCAGCTAATTCGACGTCAA